AAAGAATAGTTCACCGGATTTCAATACAATCTATGTAAACGAAAATTTCAATTTAATTAAATATCGCATTCGAACTTGTTTTGTATCATAAACAATATATTCATTATAATTAAGTGTAGAATTTTTTGCATTAGGTGCTGTCGTTGGTTCACCGGGACCCATTGGTATAATAACATCACCATCTCTATTTACAAAAATATAGTCAAATATTATATCTATTTTTCTTTTTTTCATAAAACAATCAAACTTACAATTTAACTTCATTCTTTACATTAGGTACAACTGTACCAAGTGCTTTAACACTTGATAAACCTGCTGGTAATTTATTAGCGTTATAATCAGCATGTATTAATTCATTACATTTACCAAGAGCAACCTAATTAATAAAACAAAAGAGATAATACATTTTGAAAAATAGAAGAAAAAAGAAAATCTTACCTCAGAAAGAAGTAAAAGACCAGTATCTTTACTTCGACTTGGATGACAATAATTGGCACTTTTACTACTCATATCAGCAAAATATACACCTTTTCCAAACATATAACCAGTCTAAATTATTTTATATAAACTTATATTTCTTTATTATGATTCTTATATGACTTACCACAGGTGCTTCGGGTGGTGCAATACGTAAACCTTGACTTATTATACCCGCAAAATTAGTCAAAGGAGATCCATGCCTAGTATATTAAAAATATAAAAATGAATTGTTTGTTTCTTTTATGAAATATGGTCTAATATGAATGCTGAAGTATATAATTAATTCTACAGGGATGGCGCTAGAGGGCTGCAGGTTACGCTATTTTGACAACCTGTAACCTCCCCTGCTCAGATTTTCACAACCTGACCCTGCCCTGCCCTGCCTTGTTTTCTTTAAAACTAAAGAAAATTCCAAACTTTCATATTAATTCATTATATAATTTCATTTCAATTTGTTACAACCATGAAGCAAAAAACAGCAACATTATATATCTCGAAAATTTCTAATCATCAAAATATCATCAACAATATCTGAATTTAAAAACTATCTTCTTTTTTCTAATATTCGATCTGATGAACTAAAAACACACTCCGATATTG